TCCCCTTAAGTATCCGTGGTTGCGAGTGCTCTAATGAAACTAAATCTCAGCAATCAGTCCAAAACCGTATATCTGTTATCACATACTCCTATTTCGAAAAGATTAACATTTTTGAAAAAAAAATTGTTTCAAAAAAATATATTTTCTACATTTTCAGTGTATAGTTCAATAAAAATTATAGATTCCAAAAAAAATTGATTGTATTTCTTAAAATTATATTGGTTAGAAAATATATGAAATTGTAATTTATAATAAATGATGCATTGGTAATCAAATTTTTATGTTTTTCTTAATATGTAAAAAAACTTAAAACATTTAACTTTTTATAAACAGAAGGAATATAGTGTTGTAGCTAAGAAAATGAATCCAGTAAAATGATGCGTGATTAATTTCGACCACACAAAAGAAGGAGAACTTTATATTAGTCTAAACGCAACCATTTTTCACATTTTATCATATATTCCCTTTGTTTTCATTATAACTGTCATTTTATAGTTGTGCACATAGATTAAAATAATTAATTTTACATATTTTATATGTAAAAATACAACTATATATACATTTAACTACATTTTAACCAATAGAATAACAAATTATATAATAAAATTAATTAATTTTGTATTGAAAATTAAAAATAACATTTATTTGGTAACGAACAAAATTATCTACAACCATACTTAATACGAAACGAAAAAAAAAAATTTTTTTTGTTCAAATCTTGTTTTGCTCAAAACAATATAATACCAGAGAGATCTGGATTAGGTTTTGTAATAAAATATTATATTTCCTACAAATTTAAGAAGATATCCTTCTTCTCAGTCTACTTCTCAACAAAATCTACAATCAATGTGTGTGAAACGACAAAAATTCAATTAAAATTCTAGAAAGTCGCTTTTTCAGTTACTTTCTTCTCGAAACTCTTATAAATTTATAATTTTAGATGGGAAATCTCAAATCTGAATGTGAACTCTAGAAGAAAACTTTTATGGGCAAAGTCATTATCCTAATTATATTCTGTTTTTCTAGAGACTACAAAAATATTATTTTCTCAATTTCATTTTATTTGTTATTCTAGGTTTTTACACATAGATTAAGAAAATATTTAATTTTACATATTTTTAAGATAAAAACACAATTACCTATATATCAAATCACTTTTTAATCAATAGAAAAATAGAATATCATATAATGCTAGTAAAATTTACCTCGAAACTCTAAAACAACACTTATTTTAAACGGATTTTTCTCTCTAGAATGACAACTAATTTGAAGCGGATGAAGTATAATAAGAAAATAACTTTCTTAAAAAACATAATTTACTTCGTCATAATATATATTTATTATATTCATGCAACATTCACTGTATATAGTGACCGATTAAAGACTCCAACGCATATGATATACATATAACCTGCACTCTAGAATATATATATATATATATATATTATTTGATGAATATTGATGTTTGAAAGTTTATATATTGTTTGAAGTTGTATGAATTCCTGTGTGAGAGTTTCGGTGATTTTAAACATACATTTAAGATTGTACTATTGCATTTAGAAAATTAACATAATATCGGCAACTTTTTTGTTTAAAGATGAAAGTATCAACTACAAAATAGTTAGAAGATATCAAAAACAAATTCAATACATATATACAACATTGTAATAAATTATTAGAGGCGCTTTGTTAGACAACAATGGAAAACTAAAGTATTGGAAAGCTAATAATTTGAGAATATATTCATCTAATCATTTATTGACGATCCATGAACCCATGATACCCTCGTGGTCGTGTCAATTTCCTATTTTATCGGAAATCATTCTTATACCCATAATTTAATCAAATCTTGCTATTCAACTACTTTTAAAAAAAACTCATCTTTTAAACTACAAGTAACTAAGTAAGCTGCATGGAATCTATAGTAGAATAAAAAGAAGATGCGATTGGTAAAATAAGAAGTAAATATTGATAATGACTATTAAGACTCTTTCCTGTCCATGTAATTTGCAGGCGAGTATATTTGTGGCTTAGAAAAACACATTGTGCGGCTGTCTCTCTTTCAGACCAACTATTTTCCATCATTTTGTTCCATTTGTTTTATGGTTTCTTTTATTTTTCACAACTTGTAGAAGAGTAGCTTCGTATTTAGATAATGTTTTGTGGATAACAACATTATGCCACAAAAGAAATGAGCGTAGGTTTGGATTGGTGATAAAAAAAAATTGGCATAGCTTTAAAGGTATGAATAGTAGGTCACTTTTAGTAAATATTCCATCTGTTTTAATTTAATTGTCGTTTTGAGTTTTTATACATAAATTAAGAAAATATTTAATTTTCAATATTTTTTAAAAACACACAATTTAACTATATATCTAACCACATTTTAACAAAAGAAAAATATAATAATAGATAGATTAAAAAAATTTATATTAAAATTATAAAATGACATTTATTTTAAAACAAAAAATTTACGCTACAATGACAACTAAATTTAAAAGTATATATCATCAAGCAATGTATAGCTATGAAGTTTAAACTTGCCTTTCGTATGTATCGTTACATGAGAAATTAGATGATACCTAGGATTAACACTATAAGCTGAATGTGAAAATACTAGTTATTTCCTTACAATCAAACAACTTCAACTGTTTTATTAAATTGACATATGATAAATAAACACTAGCTCAACCTTATTAAGTGAAAAAAAATTATTAAGTGATCAAAATGTAATTTCTTACTAGAACACAAGAACTATGATGCGCTGTACGCAGGCTAAAGAGGTTAACCATGTGTGCTGGTGAAAGAAAAATACTTTTTGGGTTTATAGAGGAAATATTCTAAAACGGTGGGCAAGATTTAAATACTAATGGTTGTAGCATTTAAGAATGGCTTCATATCCACAAATTTGCAGGAAGTATCGACATTTGATAAGTCTAAGACTATCTAGTAATAATAGTTTTATTCAGCATTCAGCAAAATTCATTGAACCTTTCTGGTGCACTTAAATTGTCTTATGTGACTTACCTACTCAATTCTCGAGATCATTTCTTTTCGTACTTTTCGACAATCTGAGCACGCCGATAATAGGACTAAGTAAATTATCAACCAACTAGCTAGAAGATAGTTTTTTTTTTTTTTTTCTAAACAACAGCTAGAAGATAGTAATGATCATATATAGAGTATTAATTACTACGTCGATGTAAATCACATTATTGAGTCGATCAATCACATATATCTTATTTGTAGTGAAGTGCTTACTCCAATTTTAAGTACATTAAGAAACCAAAATTGATATATCGATCATTAATATGATATATCACAAAAAATAGAATCAATTTATATCATATTATACATTTTTATGAGGTTAATTTGTTTCTTTTAGGTTAAGCAAAATGATGAGAGAGCAAAGCAATTTCATAAAATTGGTAGTATAAAATTTGCTATATTCAGCTATAAATCAATATACAAGTATTTTTAGTATTTGTTTTGCTCAACACAAAGTTAATCGATTTTTTTTTGATCGAGTAGAAACCAAAATAGCATATATCTTGACAAACCCTAACCGGTGATCATAAATTGTGTTGTCTTTTCCATGCATGGGACTATATATCGCAATCAGATTATAAAATAATCATATTCTGCCCATGAGGATGGTATATTATAAGAAAAATATGCCTTTTCAAAGGGGTTATATCGTGTTAAAACCGGTCCAAACCGCGCATTATACATTAGCATATTGCATAGTACGATTGAATTACTTGCAAATACATGGAACATACATCAAACATAGTCACATAGACGCGTCCACTAACCGCGATTCAAACACGGACTTGGTCGAGCTTAAGGAAATGATTGGAGGCGTCGACGCACCTGACCATGTCCCTTCCAAAGTCAACATAAACGTGCCGCGTAAGGATACAGACTTTGTTGTTCCTACGTTTTAAAATGTTAAATGTTAAATTTACAACATTTGTTTTAATCAAACTTACATGATTAATTATTAACCTAATTAATGTCTTAACCTAATTAATGTCTTTCGTTATTAACCAACAAAACCTGCAAGCCTAGACCACGAAACGACAGAGAAACCCCTTAAACACTTTGACGTGGACAACGTTCAATTATTAATTACGTTGAACTATTGGTTATGCCTTAATCATATTGATTCTCTAAATCTTAATTTTGTTGACCCACCATTATTTACCAAGCTACTGCGACTATGATATAAGTAATTTTACTAATGTAATTAAGTTGGCTACAACTAACAAAACGGTGATTACTTAATTAAGTATACGTAAATAAGTTGGTTACTCAAATATAAATTTATTAAAATATATCACTACTATAATATATGAATAAGAACACATCAACCAGATTCATTATTTTATAGTGTACGTATCATATTTTGTTAATTTCTGTTGACGTCGGCAAATATGTCGTTAATTTAATGATAACTAAAATCTCTTGCACACTTGCAATACGATCTGTTTTAAAATTCTACAAGCAAAACAAAAAATTGGTTGGTTTGTCCTTATTTAGTTTTCACACAATTGTCGTTTGGGCCTATTTTAAAATTTAGAATTTTATATGAAAAATGTAATATATCTAACAAAATAAAAACTAAAGCATCATCATATTATTTAAAAACTTTTTGGGTGAAAGTATAAAGCCTTAGTCAGCTATTTTTTTACCCAACTTGTGATCAAATTTTTTTTTTCAAGAAATGACAACAATTGGATAGCTAGACCCGTCTACCAAAATTATTATTTTAAAAGTAATATTGAATAGAAATGTGATGTTTGATCAAAAAATTGAATGTGATGTAATAAATGTATGAAGATGGGATAACATATTTTTAAAAATATGGGGTGATTAATAAGCCTGATACCTAAGTCAACAATATTAACATAAATTAACTAAAAAGGGGTATGTTAGAGCGGCCGTTTTTTTATATAAACAAGACAAGCCATTGGAGGTTGAACACAACGCTTTTTGTCTCATCTCCTTCACCCTCTCAAATCTTTTCAGGCACAACTAAACCGAACCATAAACACTTGAAAGTATAACTAAAAAACTTCCTGATCTATCTGACAATAGATTCTTGGGCTCTTCTTTATTTCGACAGATTCTAATCCGTTATAGTTGTTTTAAACGATAAGGTGAAATTTTTGTTCTTATATAATATCATACTCCTACTTCTTTATCTGGGAAACTAGGGTTATCCTGTGAAACTTTTAGCTAAAAAATGGGGGTTGAAAAAATGGTGTGTTTGGTTTCTCGCACTGGTCGCCAGTTTCAGAGATACAACAAAGGTCGTCGTCAAGTCGTCGGGTATGTTCATGTGTACATCTAGGAAGAACATTAAAAACAATTACTTTTGGATTTTGTTCTGAGTTTCTGAGTATGGGAAATTTTGCAGATGTATTCCGTACAGATTCAAGTTAACAAGTGATGGTAAAATTAGTGACAAGGTAGAAGTTCTAGTTATCTCTTCTCAAAAGGGTCACGCCATGATGTTTCCAAAGGTAATAAACTTTTAACTCAAAAGAAACGAAAAAGAATCATAATATTCTTTGAATTTTTGATTTTATTGTTTATCAAAGAGTTTTTTTTTTAACTGGCTTTCATGTTTACCAAAGAGTTGGTTTGCTGCTTTTGGTGTTGTAAAAGAGAACATTTATCCTGGATGTTAATTGTTTTTTGCCTATGATTAATTAAAAATCAGGGTGGTTGGGAGCTTGATGAATCTGTGGAAGAAGCTGCATCAAGAGAGTCTCTTGAAGAAGCTGGAGTTCTTGGCAACGTTGAGGTATTTTAAAATAAAAATCTTAGTTTCTATTTTTATTTGATATTATTGTTCTTTCTTTTTTAATTAATTTGTTGTTGTTTTCTTGTGTTTTAATTTTGGCAGCATCAACTAGGAAAATGGGATTTTTTGAGCAAAAGCAGAGGAACATACTACGAAGGACTTATGTTCCCTATGCTTGTAACAGAACAACTTGAGCTTTGGCCTGAACAACATGCTCGGCAAAGAATCTGGGTCAGTAGCTTAGCTAAACATTTTGTTATCGTAACGATGAATTTTAGTATTAGTTGCATTTTCTAACGATTTTTTGCTAATTTTCAGATGAACGTAGTAGACGCCAGAGAAGCCTGTAGAGATTGGTGGATGAAAGAAGCATTAGATGTTTTGGTTGGGAGACTCTCATCACCAATGAATCAACCAAAGGAAGAGAAGACTCTTTCCATCTCTATTGAAACAATGTGCTGATTGTGATGGGAGTTTTTGGACTAGTGTGTCTATGTAGATACAAATTAGATGGGTTTCAATTAGTAATGAGACAGCTGAAGATCAAAGCAGATGCAGAGCCGGAAAACAGAAATTATGAGTAGATTTTTAGGTTTAATAAGGAGCAAGAAAATTATCATGTGATTTTAACAAGTCTTGGATGTCCTGTTTATAATGTTTCTGCAAGATTTGATTAAAGGGACGATGAAGAGTTACGAACCTAAACCAAGAGTGCTAGCAAAAACTGCACAACTGTGTTTCCCTCTGTTTATGTTTTTCATCTCTCTTTGAATTTGCAATGGAGACACTTGATTTGATGATTTCATGATGGTTTTTGTGTTTGAGAAATATTTAATAATGCAACTGGGTTGTACGTGTCATGGTGTGATTGTTTACATGGAAAAGCAACAATAAATTACTCCAATCATAAGCTATATAATATGTAACGAAAACTTCTTTTTCCAAATTCATTATAAAAATATCAAAAGGTTGATGAGTCATTTATCAAATTGGCTTTATCTTTTAGAAAACTATTGGTTCACATTTTTAATAACTTGTTTTTTTTTTTTGGGTCCAGCTACCTATTCATTGTCACCGAATAACATCTTAGTCCTGTTGGTTAACTAGATATAATAACAATAACATTATTTGTTAGATTGTTTGTTTTTGTAACAATTGTTTGTTTTTCAACAAAGGTTCATGCTGCTATTGAAAAAGACAATATTTAGAAGTCTACTAAAGATCAGTTATAATACTGTAGTTTTTGGAAAAACTGGAAGATCCACAGTTTTACTAGTCATTTTATAATATAAATAACACAAGTTGCTTTTGGCTAAAAAAATAATAATAACAACAAGTTGCACCTTTAGTAATAAAAAATGACATGTGAATCGTTTACTTTAGTTCAAACCAAATCTCACATCACCACCGTCTTGATTCTATCCGACTCTCAACAGCTCATGAAAGCTATCAATTCGAAATCATATCCGGTGGAACTTTTTCAGAATTTACATGTATATCGAATTCTTATCATCTTCCATTGCTTTTATCCTATTTTAGTTTATTTCAAGAGATTACAATGACTTGGCTGACTCTCTTGCAAATATCGCCCTTAGGAATTGTTCTTCAATCTTGTACTACACATTTATCTAGTGCATGTCCAACATTTTCATTATTTATTTGATGTTCTAAGTTCACTTAAAATTTTTTACCCTTTATAGATTTTCTTTTTATAATACCTTATATGCAGCTAAAATTATCGCTTAAAGTTATCATGCCCTAAACGATCACTTACCTAGTCTATGCTTCGGACCGGTCATGCGCTTATCAACCTTTTAATGTTAGTCTTGGTTGTTCAAAAAAAAAATTCAAACCAAATCATTTAATCTTATGTGGCTTTGATCAATTCTTTCATTTTCATGATTTTATTTAATATATCAGAGAAAATATCTTATAAAGTAATTTTCTTTTCTTTTGTGTTGCTAAAAGAGCAGATAGAAGAATCGTACATTTCATAATTTTCAATAATCATATGTCCATTGATTCTCTCAAAATTTTAGTATCGATTTTACGTATTTTTCTTGTAAGTTGCTTCTGATATAAAGGGGAAGACGACGTATTTCCCCACCATAACTATGGCATAGTAATAAATGTACACAAAGTTTTGAGGTCGTCCTAATTGCACACCGTTAAAGTTTGACAACCACTTTCCACATAATAAGAAAGTTTGAACCTCGTTTCCACACAGACCATGATTTGACTTGGTTTTATCGATTTATTACATTAACCGATAGTAAACCAGTTATATTGGTACGCCTCGACCCATAATAAGATCCGACTATGGATCAATTTATACCCGACCCGAAACACCTTTAAAACCCCCAAATCGAGTTGTTGTCTTTAGAACCCTAAAATTTTAAAAATTGAGAGAGAGATTCCTTTTCGATGTTGTAATCGTTACGCTCTCTTCGATCTTCACCATCAGAGTCGACATCATCAGGAGAATCAGGTGTCCCTAGGTTGAATTCCGGTACATCACTCCACTCTACATTCACATCAGTGAATGACTCCATTGTTGATTCCTGAAAAGAGACAACGAGAGAGAGAGAGACACAGAGATATCAAAATAGAGAGATCAAAACAGAGAGACACATAGGGACAAAGAAACAACGAGAGAGAGAGATGGAGACACATAAGAGATGTCAAAATTACCTAGACTAAACACAATCGGTGCACAATCGAGAGAGAGAGAGACAATGTATGTTCTTCTTCAGGACAGATTGGTGATTTAGGGTTTCTAATCGGGTTCTGGGTTGGTTTAGTTGTTTAATCGGGTTTTTATTCTCTAATCGGGTTATAATTGGGTAGTTTTTGGTTTAGTTAGGTAAGATATTGGTTAACCTTAGGTTTAGAGAACTTTAACCAATTTTTAAACCGACATTTATTGATATTAGTTCGATTTATAAAGATTAGGTGGAAACGAGGTTCGAACTTTCTTATTATGGGGAAAGTGGTTGTCAAACTTTAACGGTGTGCAATTAGGACGACCTCGAAACTTTGTGTACATTTATTACTATGCCATAGTTCTGGTGGGGAAATACGTCGTCTTTCCGATATAAAGAAATAAGATGAGTGAATCATACGAATGTGGTTGGATGGTTAAAACGGTTCGTAAATATCCTAAGAGTTGTGAGTTTGAAACCTTTTTCCTAGATTACTCATATATGTGGACAGATGATATGGATATCTAATTCTCCTTAGGAAACATGATATGTTTTTGGTGCTGATAAACAGGTCTCCAGGAATTAGTGGATAGTTTCGTCTCGTCGGATATTTCCGGTCAACAAAAATAAAAATATGTACTATTGTATAAGAAGTAAATTTGCTTAGTTGTCAACTTCTTTGATTTTAGATAAATTTGTTTATTTACCTTATTTAAATAATTTCATATACAATTTATTATTTAGTAAAAACGGATTTCTATTAATAATAATATATTTTAGAAAATATGTTAATTATTTTCTATTAAATTGTTATCTTAAAATCTATTTTTCTATTATAAAATTCAAGTGAATTTAATGATTGATTTGTAACTTCTCCATGATTTTTATAATTTTGCTTATTTTTTCTATTTTTAATAATTTTATGAATAATTTATTATATAATAAAACAAATTTCTATTAAAAATATTATACTTTTAGAAAATAAGATAATTCTTATGTATTATATTGTTATCTTTAAAATATATTTTTAATCATAGAAATTGAAAATTAAGTTAAAATATTAACAGTTAAATATAAAGAAAGAAATGCTGATTTATCTACTTCTTCATGGTTTTATATTTTGCTTATTTATCATATTTTAATAATTTCATATATAATTTATTAAATAATAAAACGAATGTATACTAATAATACTAGATTTTTAAAAAATAAGATAATTCTTATGTATTAGATTGTTAGCTTGAACATATATTTTCTATTAGAAAATTTAAGTGAATTATTTGATTTGTATTTTCTCTATGATTTAGATAGTTTTCATTATTTATCATATTTTTAATAATTTTATATAAAATTTATTATAAAATAAAACGAATTTCTTATTAAAAATTAGAAAATAATATACTTCTTATGTATTATATTGTTATCTTGTAAATATATTTTTTATTATAGAAATAAAAAATTAAGATAGAAAAAAATTATAATTAAAATAAATTAAAGCAACATATTTGTAAAAACATATTTTTAAAAATATTTTGTTATGTAAATGTTGTCATTTATAATTAATTTTAAAACATAAATCATAACTTATTATATTGGTTTGAATTAATAAAATATAGATTAATAATACATTGTACAAAAATTATGCCCGCATGTGCGGGCAAAACACCTAGTTTAAAATAAATAAATAAGATGAGTTACATGTTTACGTAGTTTTCTTGAATCAATCAATTAATATAGAACTACCATTCTTATTTTACATAAATAGATGAGACTAAATTTAACTTTGGGCTTTGTCATGTCCGTATAGAATTTCATTTGGGTGATGCTGTTCGCATAAATTTGGGCCTCGCTGATAGCTGTCTCTCTTTGCTGTACAGTCATCACGGTACTCTCCTGAATTCGGCACCACTGATTATTAATTTGTAATATTGATGTGGCGCGTAAGACTTCTAATTGTTTTTGTTATTTTTTATGCCTCCTAATTGTTGCTCATATGTAGAGACAGCCACTCAAGTTTGAATGACTGATAAAAGTATTATTCATCATTTTGACTGGTTTAAATTCCATTTATAAAACAAGACGCAACTTCTAAGCAGTTTTGCAAAGAAAGAGAATAATTTTCTTTTTTGCAAACTACACCAAGTATTGTGTAATATGATAGTAAACACATGGTGTGAAATTCTGGCCGCAGTGAGAAAGAACGTGTTTGTGGTGTTTCATTTGGCCTCTTCGTGGTGTGGAATTGCATCAGAAGCGCTTGGATAGCCCATTCACACTGGAGGTGGAGCCCTAGAAAAGTGGTGCTTTGTTAAGCTTGTCTGTGCTGGAGTCGCATCTGAGGCATTTGTAGAGCCCACTCACAGTCGAGTGGCTTGTCTTAGTTAGATATGGAGATAGCTACACAGAGACGGTTATCTATTGCAACCAGGCCAGCAGATTATGAATCAAAGTTTTGGTTGTGGCTGATTTCGAATTGGTTGAGCAGTTCTAAGTACTCATAGCTTCAATAGTTTGGAAGCTTTTCATGAGACATAGATCCTTAATCATTGGTTTATTTATACGAAATCTTTAAATTTCATCGTCGGAATAAAATTTCTGGTCTTTGGACCATTCATCACCGATGAGGAATCAAGCTGCTATGGAGATTGTGACAACGTATTCATACATAGCTAAGAAGGCATCTCTTGATTATGTCACCTTTTGGATGAGGAAGCCATAGTTGCTGAAAAGATGCCATGGAAGTTGGTCAGAAATAACCAGTTTGTTTGTTAGACGTGCTTTCTTTGTGTTACTTTTGTTTTATGCTCCTTTCAGCTTATTTATACCATCTACTGATGGGTGTATGTGTTGATGTGGCTTAAGCCAAACTATGTTTTTTTTTTTTACAATTTGAATAAACCACTGTTAAAAAAAAGATAGTAAACACATGAAATATTAGAATTTGGCACTAGCAACACAAAGGGGGAAACGGCTTATTCATACCCAAACTATGAATATCTGAAAAAACATACCTAAACTTGTTTTTGCTCTAAAACATACCTAAATTTTTTTTGCATGCAAAAACATACCTGTGAAAATATACTTAAACTATACATAATTTGAATTACATACACGAACTTATAAAATCCATGCTAATTCATACATTGACATTAATGTGTTTAATGATAAATTTTCTAGGATAATCTCTTTTAAGTAATTTTCACAAAAAAAAATTTAAAATAGAAAATGACCAAAATTTTTTAATTGAAGTACACATATATTCTTATACCTATGAGGTTAAATAACCCTCGACTTTCTTGTTTAAAGCTATGGGTAAGATTTTGGACTAGAGGTTAAAATATCCAAGAATAGAAAATAAATATTAAAAATTTTAAAATAAAAATTTGATAAATACTTTCAAAAAGAATTTTCAAATTTTAAAAAAATATCATTTTTAAATTTCAAAAATCATTTTTTATTTTAAAAAGAAAATTAAAATAAGAAATAGAAAAAAATTCAGAAAATAAAATTTGAAATAAAAATATATATTAAAAAAGTGCGAATCTGAAAAACTTATAATCCCAAAATATAAGAAAATAAATTTTATTTTATTTTAATATTGAATTTTTATATTTATTATTTATATATTTATAAAGCAAATGGTACAAAAGTCTTTTGTCTCTTTTTAAGCTTAGGTTTTAGTTGCGACTAACTGTAAAATCTTTTGCTCCAAAATCGTTGAAGGTTAAGAAGAAGAAGATGAATCAGTTTATGAAACAATGCTGTTTTACTATAGTCCAAAAGATTTAATATTCAGTCCAAAATAATTTTAATATTCAGTTCTGAATATTTAAACTTTAACCTATTATATTTTGGCTTTTATACAACATGTTTGTATGTAAAGCTGATTAATCAACCACATTTTATCCTAGTTAGTATTGTTAACTATGATAATATTGTTAATATCAATGTATGAATTAGAGTAATTTTCGCATACAAAAAAAAATTAGGTGTGTTTTTGACACCAAAAAAATGAGATATGTTTTAGTATGTAAAAAAAGTTTAGGTATGTTATTTCCAGAAACTCATAGTTCAGGTATGAATAAGCCGTTTTATTTAACACAAAGTATATTTTTCACTACACCACATGTGCGAAGTAAACTTTTTTATATGATGGAAACTACAAAGTTTGGTTTATTTATTAATTTGATTTTGACAATAAGTAATAGAGTTAATCGGTAATTAATAAAACTTTGAGAGAGAAAGAGAAGCTCAGTTGTATTAGATGTGTGTAACTTTTGTTTTAATAAACTAACTAGATTTTAACCCGCGCAACCGCGCGGGATCTGTTTTCATATTTATATACATATATATTAGTTTTATATTATTAATAACGTTAGTCATATGTTTAAATGTTTGTATAGATATTACAAACACAATAATTTTGTAGCTTGTATGTTAATATCAGTAGTTTCAAAAGTTTCTTTTTATATACTTATCTTATTGGATTTATATTTAATTATTAATATTAATATATGCATGAAAATCATATTTGAAAATTACTTTATATTTAATTTATACTAAATTATTATCTGAGTTTCAAATTAGCTAGATTACCGTTTAGCAAACTTTTTATGTTTATATAGATAATTTTATATATTTATTTATAGTTACTAATCTTAATCCGTTCTGCCAATATATTTTATATTTTAAAAATTAATATTTCTATTTTTGAAAATAAAATTGATTAATTTATCAATTTAATATAATTTTATAACATTCACTTTATTATAATAATTTTCATTTAATATGATAGATTATGATTATGAAATAGATAAAAAGAATAACATTTTGTTTTCATTATATATATATATATTAGTGTATAATTATTTTCATTACTAATTCGAAATTTTACAAGTTATTAATTAGTAAAATATTTATCCAATGTTTTTAAAGTTAAGATATTGGTAAAATCTTTTCAACTGATTTTTTAAAAACAAAATAATACATATTTAAAATAGAAAGATATCAAAAGATATTATGATTAAAGTTGTTACAAAGAAATGAAATATATTTAATAAAATTTTTTTGCTAATGGTCCAAATGAAAAAAATCACACATGAAATGAGTCATGACTTCTCTTTTAATATAATAGATTGAAAACCTAATAAATACTTTATTATTATATCAATTGCAAAACAGACCTTAGCATAAATACTTCTCTAGAAATCTACTTATAAGTTATAATGGACTTCTTCAGAAGTTTTTGTTATTTTTGTTACAAAGAAACGGTAGCAGATTTTTCATCTATGAAAACTCACAAAATCTTCTCTATTAAAAGAGAAGTACCATTTACATCTATTACAAAAAGTCATGTTGGACTATTTCATTAATATGATATATTTGATTATTTATACTAATCAATCAAATATATATAATTGGAGGAATATTTTAATAATTAATAAGATATTAGTAATAAATTTGTTTAGAAAATATCTAACAAGATCTTACTAAGAAGTTTAAACATTTGTATAAAATATGCATTATTTAATTTTGTGATTAATATATATAAATATCTATATTACTGTTAATTAAAATAAAAGTTGTTATATTTTATAATTTAGTTATATTCTACTATATATTAAAATAAAATGCTATGTGAAATGAATATAAAATATATTAAATTGGTAAAAGGAAAATATTTTGTTTTAAAAATTTTATTTTATTCAAATAAATAAATAAATATCACTCCCTTTTAAAACATATTAAATTTTTAAATCATAAAACATTTTTTTTACAAAAAATGTTAACATATATTTTTGTAACTCACAACAAATACATTATATAATAAATTATATATAAATATTTTTTTTTATTTTAAAACTTACAACAATATATTATATAAAAATAATTAAAATTATACAATTATACAATATATAACAATAGAATATAAATCATATATATTTGAGAAGTTTTGTTATATTTTTATAAAATGAAAAAATACCCGCACGGATGTGCGGGTTCAAAATCTAGTAGTTAATTAGAAAACTAACATGTGCACTGACCAATAACCTCTCCAAGCATCCATAATTTCTTATTGAAAGACACCCATTTTTTATTGACAAAAAATCATGAATTTGTGTAATTTCAATGAAAATCAAATTTTGAAATTGAAATTTTTGAGTTTTTAAAGATGAAATGAAAGTGAAAATGAAAAATAATTGATTTGTGTGTGTAAAAAATGAGATATGAAAAAGTAGATATTGATTTCTAATGCACTTAATTAAAGGTTGATATTAGTTGTTAATAGTAAATAAATATTCAAGATGAGGATAGTTGAGTCAAAAAACTTTATTTCAAATATATATATATATATATATATATATATATATATATATATATATATATATATATTCCTAAATCATTTAAAGTTTTGGTGAAGAGGTCAAACCTTATTGGTCAAACCATATTTTTTAACATTATAACAATATAACACTATGGCGATCAAAAAAGATAATTAGAAAGTTTGTATAATGGTTGTATTCATAATCATGTAACAACAACGCACCAAGCATAAAAAAGTTGCTACCTTCTCTTATTTTCTTCTAGAGTCATACCACACACACACACAAAGTCATGTTCTCCACAAAAACGCTTCTCTTTATCACTCTCCTGTTCCTTGTCGGAACATTCACATTCGCCGCCGTCGACACTTTTGTCTACGGTGGCTGCTCGCAAACAAAATACTTCCCGGGATCTCCTTACGAGTCCAACGTCAACTCTCTCCTCACCTCCTTCGTCAACTCAGCTTCTCTCTACACTTACAACAACTTCACCGTCAACGGCGACGGTTCCGTCTACGGCCTGTACCAGTGTCGCGGCGACCTCTCCTTAGGCTCCGGCGACTGCGCTAGGTGCGTCGCTCGAGCCGTCAGCCGTCTCGGGAGTCTCTGCGCCGGAGCGACCGGTGGCGCGTTGCAGCTCGAAGGATGTTTCGTGAAGTACGACAACTCGACGTTCCTCGGCGTTGAGGATAAGACGGTGGTGGTTAGACGGTGCGGAACACCGGTTGGGTATAACTCGGACGAGTTGACTCGGAGGGACTCGGTGGTTGGTTATTTATCGGCGAGTAACGGTGGGTCTTATAGAGTGGGAGTGTCCGGGGAAGTGCAAGGTGTGGCGCAGTGCACCGGAGATCTCAGTGGGAGTGAGTGTCAAGACTGTTTGATGGAAGCGATCGGACGGTTGAAAACTGATTGTGGAGCAGCCGCTTGGGGTGACGTTTACTTAGCCAAGTGCTACGCGCGGTACACTGGGCGCGGTGGACACTCGCGAGCCAATGGCTACGGTAAAGCCTTTCTCTGCACCGTTGCTTTTGTTTCTCTTATTAATATTCTTCTTTGTGTTTAGAGTTGATTACTTAGTTAAGCATGTTTATGAATCCAGATTGTCCATGCATTAACACATATAATTATCATACTGTATAGTTTTCTTTTTGTCAACATCATATTTGTGTAGTATATAGTAATTAATTATGCATGTAATGTTTTTTTGACTGATGTTATGCATGTAATTAATTTGTTAAAGCATGTTTATGAATCCAGATTGTCCATGCATTAAAACATATAATTATCATATTGTATAGTTTCTTTTTGTCAACATCATATTGTATATTATATAGTAATTAATTATGCATGTAATTATGTATTTTTGACTGATGTTATGCATGTAATGTTGGATAAACGTTTTTGGGATTAAGGTGGGAATCGTGACAATAATGACGACGAGATACAGAAGACACTTGCAATCATAGTTGGGTTAATTGCTGGAGTTACGTTACTCGTTGTTTTACTTTCTTTTTTGTCAAAATCGTGCGAGAGGGTTAAAGGTAAGTAAAGTGAATCATCCCTAACTCATTCCATTTTTATATGAAAGTAATGGAATGGAACACAATCATCATAATCAAATCTTTTTATGATAAACGGATCAATTTGTATATGTGATGGATGGACCCTCGAGATAAAGGCAGAGTATATGGTGGATCCGACCTTCTTACATTCTCTATTTATTTATTTTTTCAGGAGGAAAATAAACTACGTTGTGGGCTTTTGCTTCTCGACTCTTGTATCATCAATTATAAAAAGAAAAAATAATAATTTAATGCGTAAAGGAGAAACAAAAGCGAAGAGATTCTTCATATTCTCCACTCAAACGTTTCCTTTTTGACTCACTTCACTTTAATTCAAGTCTTGATCAATTGTATATGAAATTTACGCCGTTTATAGACTTGTATCCGTGTCTTCCTATAATAACGTTATATAAAGTGGCGCATGCAATTGTTTTGATATCTCAGCTAAGATTTTAGAAGTCATAGACTTATAGTAAAAAAACAACTTTAAACAGTAAACATATACTTATGTGATGTAAAAAAAAACATATTACTTACGTATATTATTGTAAAAAAAAATTGAGAGTCGAAATCAATGTTTCATTGGACAATGGATCATATATCTTACTATTGTTTATCATAGTAGATTCATAATAACTTTATAATAGATGATTCTAAAAAAATCCAAGAAGAATTGGGCATTCGGCTTTAATCTTGGATGAATTAGTTAAATACCTTATAAATACTGAGATACTATAAAAGAGGGGAAAAAAATGATAAATGGGGGGAAGAGAGAGATAGAGGGAAATAGGGTATATAGCTAATTTGGTGGTTTTGTGTGTATACACAATGCAAATACTCTTTAATCTTCTCATTCAGCACAAAATCAGCTTTTGACCTTAAACTCAGACATGTTTAATCCATTTCTTCCATCGGGATTCGAATTAAGAGCACAACATCACTGATTTATGTCTTAAACCACTAGCTCACACATACCGATGATCACTTAATATTGTTGATAAAGTTAATTGATGGTGTGTGATTGTCTTCTTCAAATCTAAACTATAGCTACACATTATTATATTTTGGTAAATAAGAAACATTAGTCCAATCTCTCAACTATAGCTACACATTTTTCTTGATACATAAATGAATTATCTGCCGTTTTGGAGTGTGTTAACTAACGGTAATGGGGAAAATGATGATAAAAATTAAAGGAAAAGGTTAGTACTCACTCAAATGGTGGGTATGGAGCATGGTTGATTGATTTTGATCCTAATCATGCCATAACATATATCTAGTAAATATAACTTTATAAAGTTGTCAGATTAAGATCATTGTGTTTTCAAACAAAAGTAGGGGGGAATAAGCACAATAAGTAGGACCATCGGCTTACGTGATACATTCTCTATCATCAATTATCGCCCTTGTTTATAAAACAAATAAATATTTCTTCCAAAATATTTTCTACTTTTTATTTCAATTTCATTTTCATGTTTTCTACCTTATCGTAGGCAAAAGTAGGGGTAGGCACGGATCGGATATCCGGGTTTTTTAAGGTATTTGTGATTTGCTTCGAATGTTACGGATATCTAATTTTGGTATTTGCTTTGCTTCGAAAAAATACGGATATCCGGAAAAACGGATATCCGGAAAATAAATAGATATTTGTGGATATTTACGAATATTTACGGATATCTCATTCATTTTAATTAGTACAAATAATCTTAAGATTTTGATACAAATTTGCTTTGCAAAAATATTTTTTTGCATGATATATGAAATAAAACTTAAAAGAACTAGTGAATTTATAGATTTTGTAATATTTTAAAGTTTAAGTTACAATTATAATAACACAAAATTTAAGACAAAAATATAATTGTCAAAAATATTTTATTTTCTTATGTAATACTTTTATATAAGTAATAATTTGAATAGAATTGTTCAAAATCATGTGCTAAATTAATAATTTTATAATTTTATACAATTAAAATTTTAAATATAATCAAAATATACATATATTTATATATTTACGGATCGGATCGGATATCCGCTTTCCAAAATTTTAATATTTGTGATTTGCTTCGATTTTAACGGATA